GCATAGCTCTTAAACTATAAGATCTGTTTATTAGAAAGGTAAAGCTAAAATTTAATAGCTGATAGACCTTTTCTTATTAAACTATATAATTAAGAAAGGATAAGAAGAGGGACTGTTATTTAGTAGGTAAAATATTATACTAAAAAAGATGCAGATAACTATAGAATAAGTAGTAGTGTAGGCTATAATAAAAAGAATATTATAAGAGTAATTTTAAAGGCGTAGAAAGACTTTTTTTAAGAGCGCTTATAGGCTTGGCGTGGATTGCAAAGCAGAGATCTATATCTTGGTTGTAAGGCGTAGTAAAAACTTTACCTTTAAGACTATAGACCGGCCCTCTTAGCCCCTTAGCTAGGAAGAAATTGTAATTCCCTCTTTTATATTTAATTAGTACTTTTTAACTAACCTCTATAAAAGAATTGCAATTTAGACGCTTAAGATAAGAAGATATTAGCGGATTTTGCCGGTTTAGAAGAGGATAAAAATAATACTTAGCCTTTAATACTTATCAGCCCCCTAAGCATAATTATTCTAATATTGCCGCGGATAGGAATATAGCTATATCTCGGCATAGATGCGAAGGTATAAAACTAAGATATAGGGAAGCATAGATTAAAGAATGGATTTAATTATAAAAATAGATAATATTATCTAATACTATGTAATATTTAGATATAGAGTTATAGATTGAAATTATATAGCTAAGACTTAATATAAAATAACTTTATGCTTTTAATTATATATCTATATATAGTAAGAGTAGAAATACTAGCGTAAGAGCAAGGATAATGCCTAGTTCTATAGTTGGCACTATAAAGTTAAAGCTCGGAACTTGCATAGTTGATTTAGTAATAAAAGGCATTAGACTTGTATTAATAAGCAGGCTTGGCAAGAGCGATGAAAGAACCTCTGCTGTTAATATGTATCCCGACTCCTGGACCCGCTGTAAATGTGCTTCTGAGCTTTGATAATATTAGTGGCAAATAATGGTTTCTATCACCTGAAGAACTCACCTCGCTGCCTGCGTTATGGTGGCTGCTTTAGTTAGTGTCCTGATATATGTCTTGCCATATAAAAGTTAAGTAAGAGTAGTGTTAATATGATTGCAAGTGCTTATAATAAGCGGTTTATTATCTTGCTAATGCTATGAAATGTGAAAAGTCTTCTAGATAAAATGTATAATCTGTAAAAAAGTATAAATATTTACTTGCTACTAATCTTACCTAGAAGTAATAGTAGCTCTTATTCTTTTAGCAAATAATAATTTCTAGTAAAGCATAAGTAATATAATTACTCTTAAATATTAATAGCATGTATAAAAGAGGTAGGCAGCTTGGAATAGATGGCTAGTATAATATAAGGCATGCTTTTAGCTTTAGGTTAGTAATATGGCCTAATGAAGGACTATATATAATTAATAGCCTAGGTGATAATACTACGGATAAGCTATTAATTAAGCGCTCTATTATCTATTAACCTGTACTATTAAGATAGCGGGTAATAATAAAAAGCGTAAAGGGACTAATAAGACAATTAATAAAGCTAAGAGGAGACTTAGCAATAACCTTAGAGTTGTAAAGGATAATAAAACGCAACTTAGATCCGAGGCGAAAAGGCTTTACGCTAAATATACCACTCTTCTCTTTAATTATAATAGTAAGGGGAGGGGCGCTAGCTTGAAAACGGATATAGAGAAGTTATAGGCGGAAATTAACTAAATTAAAAAAGATTTATTAGATGTAAATATTAAACTATTATGTCTTAAGCAGGAGATAAAAAAGCATAGAAGTATAGATATAGATAGTGAAAGTGAAAGTAATAATAACCAGGAAGAGGTAGAGATCTTAGAAGAAAAGACTAAGTTAGAAAGACTTAAGAAGAGTGGAGGTGTGCTAGAGGATAAATATAGTAAAAAAGTGAAAGGATTACTCTTTATCCCTAAAGGTAAGAATTCAAGCAAGGAGAATCCGGTCATTAGCATAACTAATATAGATAGCGTATTTAAACCGTCTATTAAAGACGACTCAGCGGACCTTTATAGTCCTGCGATAGCAAGAAGGAGAGCTAGACTTAGCGCTAATAAATTCCGCGTGGAAGGTTAGAAAAAGGAGCGCGTAAAGACTATTATTACTAGCTGTAGGCTAGAAAATATATTAAGTTTCCGGTTTAAATAAGAAGTAAAAGCTAGTGTTATAGTAGATATTAATAAAGGTGATATTATACTAGGTAGATTTAGCGAATTAAAATATGAAAAGAAATATATATATGGTAAATAAAATAACCTAATTATCCAAGGAGTTACTTGGTTTACCCGCGGCATTAATAACCTACTAAGCATGCTTATACCTAAACCTTATATATCTAGAGTGCTAGCACTAAGGATAGAGATAGTAATTAAGGTTAAGTAAACTATTAATAGTCTTAAGAAGAAGAGCTAGGAAACTAGATTAACTATTTAATAGCTATAAGGTTATAAGATAGGTGATAAGTATATATATGTAGCTATCTAGGAATAAGAGAGATAATATAAAGAGTGGAAAAAGGGCAAATATAAATCACTTAAATAATCCCCTATATTAGGTATTATCCTTATAATATAACCTGAACCTAAAGTTATTAGTTGTATATTATAGTAACCTCTATAACTAGCTAGTGGTAAACCTGTTAATAAATAGAAGATTAAGAAGAAGCTAACTAAGAAGAGTACTATGCAGAAGTATTTAAAAGACTAGTATAAATTTAGAGATATTAATATTAGTAATATAACTAAAAAGGAGGGAAAAGACTTTCTTAGTGCTTAGCAGCTTTATAAATAAGCTGCTTAATTAATTTGCCTCTTATAATAATTATCTTTTATTAGAAGTAATTTTATTTATCTCTATTAGTTATTTATAAAAATATCTATCTCTACTAATAGTTTTCTTTTATTTTTATATTTTGAAATATTCTTCTTAAAACTATCTTTACTATATAATTATCTTTAGTCTAGCTTTGATTTTAAATGAACTTTATATTTAACTCGTGTAAAATATTATATAAGCTTAAGACGGGACCTATTTATATAATTGAGCAGTTGGAAAATTATTTAGTATTACTACCTTAGGCTTAATAGCCAAGTTTAGAGTAGGTGAGTAAAAGCATAAGACTAAAGTAATATGCTTAAAAACAATTATAATTAAGGTTCTCTATATGCATATATAAGAGTAACATATAGGAGTAATAGGTAGAAGTAGCGTGTAAGGGTAATAGGTAGAGGTAATATATAAGAGTAACGTGTAAGAGTAATATATAAAGGTAATGCTTAGTAGTGACTAGTAGGCACTTCTAGTTTAGAAATAGATAATATTCTTATCTCCTTTATAATATTAAAAATAAGTATATTTAAAGCTACTATCTAGTGTTTCTAGTATTAAAGTATACTATTCTTAATTTAATAGCTAAAGCATCTATTTGCTATATATTCTTAGTAATATAGATTACCTTCTACTATAGTAGAGAAAATTTAAGATGTGCTTATAAGTTGAAAGAAAATTAATATCTTTATTAACTTATATATGATATATAGTAAGTATATAAAGGAAAAAGAATAATATTACTCTAGTAAATAAGAATGATTTATAGTAGCTTAAGAGATAATTATATGGAATTGTTTTTATTTTTAAGCCTTTTTAAACTATGGCATAGCTTAAATCTATAATTCTTAGGACTCTTAGGTTTCTTAGAAAAGTAAATGGGCTAAAGAATATCGCCTTTAAGAAAGGTCTAGCAATCTCTAATTATGTCTTAAATTACCTAATCTGCATTTACCTTGTTATCCTATCTACTAACTAGAAGTCCTAGCATTTGCCGCTTGGCATTGCATATAGCTATTAGGCTACAACTCTATCTATCACTCTGCTGAGGGGTAGCCTAGCCGCCTATTAGCGTATAATAATATAGTAAAGTAAATACTTACTGCCTCTATATACTTGAAACTTAGGTGCTTGAATTCTTTCTATAGCGGGTTAGCATATCTCTAAATGGTCTATCTAAATACATGTACCTCTACTACTTGTCTTATAAAGGTAGACTTTATTTTACAACTAATAATTCTCTAGTTTACTATTAAATTATAGTAATATATTATTTTTATTTATTTATTAATCTTAAGTAGAGTAAAGTGGTTAGCGTTAATATTAAGCAGGCAGATGTAAACCTATAGCCTTCTAGTATTATATTTACTTTTACACCTATAATTATTAATCTTCTTTCTCTAGCAATAAAGTAGGTTTAAGATAGGTATAACTTCGCTGTTTTTATCTTTCTAGTAGAATAGAATACTAAGACCTAGCTATATAAACATAGGCCTATTAGTTATTTCTAGAGTAGCTATAATATCCTAATAATTAAGCTATTCCTTTAAGCATAGCCTATTAAATATACTACTTAGAAGTTCTACTACACTATTTACTATAATAGAATCGTTTTTATAAAAGGTATGCTTGCTAAGAGCGTAGCTGATCCCTTTTATAATACGCTTGATTATAATATCCAGGTAGCCTTATAGTAGAGATTCCTATTTTTAAATTAGTATATTTCTTAATAGCCTAGACCTAGTACTAGCTTACTTTCTTAAGACTATATTCTGCTTATAGGCTTAAGACCACTTTTAATAATATAATAGAGTATAATTCAAGCAAGTTAAAGAAGTAAGAAAGGTCTAGTCGCCCTTTCTTAGCTAATAACTCTACTTGCTAGTTAAGGATAGAGTGTAGCTCTATCTTCTAGGAATCTGCCTGGAAAAGAGTGATGAATTTATTAATATCTTCTTTATTTGCCTTTATATAGACCCTAGTAATGCACTTAAAGTTAATAGATGCTATAGAGGTTTATTTTAAAATGTACTATATATTTAAATTAAAAAGAATCCCTAAGCTTATTATTTAGACTAGTTTATGTAATATTCGCTCTCTTTAAAGAGTTTTAATAAGCCGTCTCCTTCTTATATCTAAAATCCCTTTTTAAATTCCAGCTAAGTCTAGTAATAAATAATAATCTTTATTAGCTATTTTAGGATCCTCTATAGCTATAGTATTACGCGCCTCCTTTAAATGTTTATCTAGCATAATAGTAGCTAAATATTTTCTAGGCCTTTCATGTTTTATTAGAGGCGGTGCCTTCTTAGCTTATTTAAGCTTAGCGTTATACCACTTTAAAGCGCCTATCCACGCTATTATATTAAGTATAGTTACCTCTTTAGAGCAAGTATAACCTGCTTCTAGCATGTTAATCTATATAGAGGCTAACTAAGATATTAAGCTGCTTGTAATCTATATTGAAATTAGTTCTTCCGTCCTAGTAGTAGCTAGTGCTCTACTAAGGCTAGATTATAATATACTAAGAATTCTTAAATAGATCTCTATTAGTACTTCCTAGCGCCTGCTTATTGCATATATAAGATGGACTATTTTAATAACTATAGTGCTTAGTATTAGGATCTCTATAAGTAGAGAGGGCAGCATAGCTTGGCTCTCTTAAGTTAGATGTAGTTCTCTGCTCTCTTATAGCGCTTGCATTGAAGTAGCGTTGCATAGGCCTGGCTATTGCTATTCTATGCTAGATAGTGACTATAGAATCCGATCTAGTAAAGTTTTCTCTACCTTATCTACTTCTCTATTAATAGTGGGCTGAATAAGAGCTGTTTATAATATAGCGATTTAATCTTTAAATAGAGTTAATTAGACTTATCTGCTGATTTAGCATATAGGTGTAAGGCTCTTATATGATTCTGCCTTATATAATAAGGAGGTTGCTAATAGAGCTTAAGTATTAGTTGGAATTCTATTAAATAATAAGACTATCTCTCTCTACTCTATCTTGCTTTATAAGGAAAGGTGGAGCATAGTTTAATTATCCTCGCTTGACTTGTTAAGAGCTATTAATAGTTATCTAAGGATTGCGTCTCCCTTAGTACTACTACTACTATAGCTGACCTTTAGCTAATTTAGCGTTAATTCGCTGCCTATAGATAATGTAGTATATCCGTAGGCAGTAGACTAGTCTTCTACTTCCTAAGGACGCTCCTTGGCAATAATCTCTAGAAGGTTTCCCTTGTAAGCCTAAAGGGGCTTCTCTATTATAAGACTGCTGCTGCTCCTCTTATTATAAATAGGTGCATATAAGACTAATTTATCGCTAACTAGAGAGCTTCTAGTAAAAGCTGCGTATAATTATTTATCTTAAGTAATATCAGGTTATATTTAAGAAGACTTAGGATAATAATAAGTGCAGTCTAGGTGCTTAGTCTTTAATAGTTGTTTAGAGTTATATCTATGTTTATTTAAGTATTAGGTTTCGGCCTAAGCTTCATTTCTTGAGTGGTTAAGCAGTTTGCATATAAGGTATTATAAAACAGATAGTGCCTTAATATAAAAGTCCTGCATAACACTTAATAACTATAGTTGCAATTAGATTTTCCTAACTGTATAATAGGCACTATCTCACTTCTAACTAAAGTAGAAAGTTATTTAAACTGTCTAAAGATATAGTAGCAATAAACTTCTTAAATAGGTTAATAGGTTCTTCGACTATCTTGCTAGATTTTATAGGCTTATTCTACTAAGAGTAACTTTCTAGGCCCTACTAGTTATTTATTTAAATAATGTCTAAATAAATTTCAGCAGATAAATTACTTATATATATTATATATATTTTAGATAAGAAGATAAAGGTTAAACAGGAACTTAAAAGGATAGTTAAGCCGTGGTTTCTTAGAATTGACTAACCTTATATACTTAAGCCTCCTAGTTGGTAGGTCTGTTATGCCGCGTTACTATTCTCTTAGCTATATTATAAAAGAGGACCAGCTAAAGTATTAGCTCTCGGCTATAGCTATTTTAATTGAATTAGATAACGCTTTTAGATATACTTCTATTATTATTAATAATAGGTGTGGGTTTATATATTTTGATTCTTTAGGCCGCTGAAATATATAGCGAAGGCTTATCTGTTCTGGTTATTGCAGTAAACTATCTACTAAGGCAGATTTGGAACTCTGGAATTCTTATGATAATAGCTTCTTAGTCTCTAAGATATTTTATTTTTATATAAAAGGAAAAATATACTTTATAAGTTATTTATTATCTATCTCCTAGATTAGGAGTTAATATTAGAAGTAATATAACTTAAGTAATTCCTTTAGCTATATTCTACTACTTAAGCACTCTTACTGGATTTTATATTTCTAGTCTTAATATAAGCTATAAACTAGAACCTTGATTAAAAGTGCCTTAGAGATTTGCTATTTACCTATTTGCAGGAAGACTTACTTTATAGTATAACTATTATAGGTTAGTCTACTGTTAGGCTTTTAGCTTCTTGCCCTCTTATCTCTATACTATCTAATTCTGGAGCGTTGGGTATAACGAATCTATATATCTACCCCTTAAGCTAGAAGAAGAATAACGTGCGAAAAGGAAGATATAGCAAAGACCTTATAGGACTTAGGCCCTCTTATAATGGCAAGATAGTAGAGGAGAGGTTAATGTGGATAAGAAAGGCATACTAATAGCTCTAGTCTTAAAAAGCTTTGCTGTCTTAGGCCTGTCGTTCTAGTGCTGCGGGCACTACTATGCACTTTATATCTGTAGTAAATCCAGGCGCTTGAAGTATTAGAGAGGGTGTCTGCTATTTAGACTCTATATTACTTATTAGATTAACCTCTAGCGCTTTAGCTTAATGTAAGATAAATAGATATATGTAATAGTTCTATGCCTATATAGTTTATGGTATTAGCTGTTAGTAATAGAATAGGTAGTAAATAGAAAGGGGTTTAGCTGCTGCAGCTAGGAATAACTTTATAGTTGTAGTAAGCAGTGCAGATGTCTAGTAATACCTTTATAAAATCCGCTAGCACCTTATTTTATACCTTCTCTCTTAAGATTAAGCTGCTATAGACTAGTAGGTTATTGCAGATAGGGGCATGCCTTAAGCTGCATATTAAGGAGAATCGCTAATAGTTAAATATAAGAGTATGCAGCGCTAGGTAATATTTTAGAGAAAGAAGGAGATCTCTTAGTGGAACTAGTAGAGGCAATGCTACTTATAGCTTGGTTATTAATTATCCTCTATAATATCTAGATATGAGAAAGGTTGCTATCTAAGGCGGAGCAGTTAATAAAATGCTTTATTATCTCCCTTCTCCTTTATTATCCCTCTATTACTACCTTCTATTAATATCTTCTATTACTATATCTTATTATATAACTTATATATTAACTCTACTGCTATATCCTATTCCTTAAAGGACCTCTAGCTATAGCTTCTATTTGCTCTATTATTATAGATATAGGATCTAAGATTTCTTGTAAGGATATTATTACATTAAAGTAGTAAGAGGTAAAAGCTTGGAAAATGCTAATAACTACTATAAACATTAGTAAAGTCAAAGGAATCTGCTTATTAATTCCCTTTTATAATAAAATAAACACTATTAGGCTTTTAAAAGCACGTCCAGATCTTAAAAAACTCTTTGCGCTATATTATAGAGATTAGAAAGACCTCTTAAGCTTAACGGATAATATTAAGACCATTTAGCTCTAGCGGAAGTTTAAGTCTTTACCAAGGTATAGTAAGGTCTAATTAAACTAGGACTTACTACTATTAGAGACTGCTTGCGAAATTGCAGATATATTCTATATAGATATTTATTATGCTATCTTCTAGATCCCTTTCCTCAACTTTATAAAATTAGCTCTAGGATCTAATACTTTCTTTATTAGAAGCTTATTTAATACTATATATAAAGTATATAACACGCTTTAAGAGAGGATTATAGATGATCTAAGTAGAAAAGATATCTATATCAAAGTTAAAAAGGTGAGTTTACTATATTTTATAATAAGTAAGTACTAATAAGAGTAGATTTTAGAAATGCGGCATTTAAAGCTAGCTTATTAGATTATTGCTAGCAGTTTATCTAAAACCTTATACCTGCTATATACTACCCTAGACTTAATAGTTAATCCAGTTAAGAATGTCTTTGTATTATATAGCTTAGATCTTATACTTAAATGAATTTCGGTATTTAACTAGTAGTTCTAGCAGATTAATTAGAAGTATAAGTAGAGCAACTAGTTAGTAGATCTGGACTTCTAGGACTGCACTTATTAAGTATTATAATTAATAATTTAAAGGATCCTAATAGTAAACTCGGATATGCTAATAGAGGATATGGATAAGAGGTCGCGCTTTTTAGTAAGTATTAAATTAATACGCGATAAAAAGGGAAGAGTACTATTATTTATAGAGAGATTTCACTATTGAAAAGCAGTTGAATAGCTGTTATTAGGAGCTGTTTAAAGGATAATATTAGTATTATAATATAAGGATAGTTAATATTAATAATTGAAATAAAATTAAGTTATATATAAGCTATAGATGGTAGCTTATACCTTCTAATAGTTACCAAGAGATAAAAAGGGGTTTGCTGGTTATATATATAATTAGTTAAGAATATATTATAAGGCTCTCTTTAATATATCTTTCTAGTCTATTATTAATAATGACTATCTATATATATATGCTTCTAGACTCGGATAAAGCTATTACTCCTATATCCCTAATAGATGTATAAAAGTTCTCCTTTCTATAGTATCTGTATCTCTACTTAGCTAAGCATATGTAATGCCCTAAAGCTCTTAATAGCTGGATACTTCTTATAGCTAAATTGTATAGATGCTTGTTTCTATTATAGTAGAATAGCATAGTTTTAAACTATGCTAAGAAGTGCAGCTTACTACTAATTCCCCTCTACTAATAATAATAGTCTTAGTAATAGTTATAGGAGCTAGAGTTAGATGCATGTTGGAAGCACTTTAAATTAATGAAGTTACGGCGGCAGATATTAAATTTAAGTAAGGGTCTAAGATCAAGCTTAGTAAAGTTAAGTAGGAATTAGTATTTGATATTGCCGAGGGGAATATAGTTATAGAGGTAATAGAGATAGTACTAGTAATAGTTATAGGGCAAGTCGTATTGGAGGCGGACTTGGAAGCACTAATAAGAGGCTCTAATAGGGATAAAGGCATTGAGAGAGGTACGCAAGACGAATTTATAGCTATGATTAAACTTGTAATAGTAATAGTATAGGTAGAGGGAGTAATCTTAATAGTCTTATGCCTAGAAGTATTCTTAAATAAAGGACTTACAGTAGATGGTATTAAAACTGAAATAGATAAGATATTTGAAATTAAAGATAAATTATTTAAAGCGAGTGCTTGGATATTATTATAAATTAACTTTATATAAACTAATTAATTTGAGATATCTTAAAGAAGTGAACCATCTTTGCTACCTAAGAGTATAGAAATGCTCTAGATAAGACTTAAGTTATTAGAAGTATCTGCGCTGCTTTCCTACTATATTGCCCCGCTGAGGTTATTTTCCTTAATCTATCTAGCTTTTTGCTTCCTAACTTAGATATTGTTATAGCTTATAAGTTCTTTAGCCAATAAGTTATAGCTATAGCTAGATCCTCTTATGCTATTATAAAACTTATATACACCTAGAAGTAGAAGAACTTTATAATTATACACGTCCTAATCCCAGGTTCTAGGACTAATACCGCTAAAGGATTTACTAAGCCCATCTATAGCTATAAAAGACCGGCTATATAGCAGTATTCCTAAAATCATTTTCTGTAATACTACTCTATATAAGGTATAATAGCTAATAGCTTATTATGTACTAAACGGCGTGCTTCTAGGGTTATTAGAAGAAGAGAGAAGATTAGCTTGATCTGCTATAATATTACTCTAGCTTCTAGCAAAATTATAAGCTATAAGATTCTAGAAATCAAGATACTAGTTTATTTTAGTGATATATAAAATATTATAGTTAGAGGGGCCTATAGGACAAGCAACTATAAGCTTGAAATAATATAGTAGAGTTATTAACTATCTATATACATCTAGGGCTTCCCTTAAGGTCTATAAAAGCAAAACTATATTTGCTGCTTCTATATTATTTGCTAGGTATTTCTAATTAATATTAAGGCTATTAAATCCAAGGTTCTATATAAGTTTAATAGCTATTAAAGCAAATTTATTGCAGCTAGCAGTAGTTAAAGCTAGTAATATAAAGTTAGAAGAGTAAGTCTAGCTCCTAATAGAGAGTAATGTTTTTAGATTGCGATTTTTAGTTTTTAAGAGATATAGTTATTTTAGATAGCTATAGAGATTATTTCCCGTTTAATTCTAAGTATCTCCTTTAAAATAGAGTTGAGTATTAGCCTAATTATTAGATAAATACCTGGATTATAGTTAGGAAAAGTAAGCTAGTATCTAGATGCTACTTATATCTTACTAGTATTAGGCTTAATATTAGTAAAAGCATATAGTATATAGGTGAGTTTATTAATTGGAAGCTTTACTAGATAGAATTATCTCGCATAGATAGCTCTGCTATTATTCTTAGTACTCCGTTTTCGTGATATAAAGCTTACGGCTTAAAAAGGCTCTATTTACTAATTAATATAATAAGTAATATTATAATAAGTACTATTAGTAATATTAGAACTTTCAGCTTATAATCCAGGTATATATATCATGAATAAAAAAAGGATTATAGATTTCCAAAATATTTTATTCTTTTAGGTCTAAATATTCTTATAAAGCGTATAATTTAATACTAGAACTAAAGTTTTATATTAAAAAGAGCTTGTTATCTAAACTGTTGCAGTTTAAAAATTGATTTGTAAAGTTTATATAATATAAGATAAGCAGCAGATTTAGGCTAGCTAGTAGAGCTAGGATAGCTAGCTAGGATGGCTATAGTTATACTAGAGTTTTTAAGAGATGATTTGCTATCTAAGAACTTATAGTTATCTATAATTTAAATATATATTAATATAATATTAGTTTCTAATTATATCTGCTAAAGTTGCTAACTAATAGAGTAAGAGACTTAGAAGAAGGAAGAAGACTTTTTTGCTAAAGGCTATAGAACTTGGAGAATTCCCTAGGGTTAATATTGCTATGGTTATCTTCTAGAATGGCTAGTACTTCACTTTTACTTCTATTAAGGATAAATCCTAGCTACTATTAATAGAAAGTCTTATAAGCAAATATTAAGTTTCTAGGATTATTATATTTACTAATAAACTTATGAAGTAAAGGAAGTTCCCTCTTATAATTAAGTTCTCTATATAGGATATAAAGATAAGACAGATAGTAAAGAGAGCTAAGATATTGAAAGCAGAACTGAAAGTTATAGTAAATTAATAGAGCAGGAAGTAAAAGAGATTTCTAGTGCATATTAAATGGTTTAGGATATATTCTTAAGTAGAAGCTCTTATTAAAGATTAGAAAGATTCTTTTGCTAATATATAGCAGAGAAAGATAAGAGAAGAATTAGACTAAGGCCTTAAACCTTATAATATGAAGCTTAGTATTAAAGGTATACTCTATAAGCCTAATAAGCAGACTAAGGATAGAGATGCTTTAGATAATGTTAAGCTAGATAATCTTAGTTTAAAGAAAGAGAAGTAGTAATATTAATATATATAATAGTCCTATAATACCTGCTAAAAGAACTTTACTATATCTTTACTTATTGCGCTAGGTCCCTAGTACTAGAACTGAGATAAACTATTGCTTAGTTATAATTTGCAGTTGATATTATAATAGCGCTACCTAGGGCGTGAAAATGTCCCTTCTAGAGTTGCCTCTAAGTATTCTCTCTCCTCTAAATTACTTATGCATCTCTTATCTTAGTTGCTTATATGCCCTTTATCCTATGCTCTAGTCCCGCTTGCAAATTTTAGTTCTGCTCTGCTTTATTACAATATAATTCTAGGTTCTCTTCTCTTATATTTAAATATGCCTCTCTGTCTATTATCTAAATTATATTCCTCTAGCTCCCTAGGCTTAAGCTTGATGCTCCCTTAGCTACTTGTATCTAAGCCGTTAAGATTTAATGCTTTACTATACGCATCTTATAATTATTATAGATCATCTCGAATTTCCTAAGAAATCCTATAGAGGTTAAGCTTTTATAGTATAAGTATAGCATGCTATAAGGATGCTATTAGTAAACCCGTCTATAATTTTATTGCACTATACTTATTAGGACTAGGTTAAAAAGGAGCGCGTCTAGGATATTTAGAGAGGAAGTTATTTATAATAATTTATGTATAGAGCCCTTCTAACCTAGCCCCTTTAACTCTCTAATGTCTCTAGTGATCCTGATATGTTTATATAGTAGGACATATCCGTCCTGGAATTATATCTATGTAACGACCTAGTTTTTAATAACGTTTCTAATCTTATTACTTATAGTTAAGAAAATACTTTAGATTAGTTAGTAAGAAGAAGAATAAGGGATTATAGATATAATTGAAATTTGTATAGTAAGTACTATAGAGTGTAATTGCATTCTATGGATTTTACTTCTCTTAGAAGTTAATTAGACTATCTCTAAGAGCATTGTGAAACTAGGATAAAGTTAGATAGACCTCGGCTGAACTTATATGACACTTATAGTATTATCTCTACTGCTAATAATATAGTAGATATCCGTGGGACTTGCTTTATAATACTAGTATTTATTATTATACTATTCTCTTACCTGCGCCTTTATATTATTATTAAAGTTAGATGTACTTAATACCCTAGTGTAGGAGCGGCCTGTATTACTGCTATTATCTATAACTATACGTTTTCTCTTTAAGCCTAAAGATAATATTCCTAAAGAATTCTTTATGTTAGACCCTAGAGGGATAGGGAAGATGGCTGCTGGTGGAGGGGGGTAGATTATAGGATATCCTTAATAGGATAATGAATTAGATAGTATGTGGTAGGCTTAGTCTGGAGGATTTATTAATGTCGGGTATATAATCGACTGTTAATATTAATATGAAGCGTAATAAGATATTACTAACTATAGCAAGGGTTTCTAAAGCTGCGCGAGGTAATAATAGAGAGAGGCTAGGTCTAAGTAAGCCCTTTAATAATGATAACTAATCCTTAGGTAATAGCTTCCTGCGAATAGGTATGAACTTAGAAAATGATTATATAATTAAATTTATACTATAATTTTCTAGGAGATACGGGGTAGTTTAGCACTAACCTAGAAATCATTGCTTGCTTTAATATAAGGTATCAACTCTATATAGCGATCTTGTATAAATCTGCACGCTATAGCTGCTATAAAGGCTATTTACTATTTCCTGTATAAGAGAGAGAACTAAGAATTTAGCTAAGGCCTTTTTATAAATTTTAAGGATAGTATAAGCTTAGTAGTAGAGCTATAGTAGAGGAAATCTATTATGCTATTAAAGGAGACTCCTTATTATTAGGCGTAAGAGCAATAACGCAAATATGTTTTTTTAGTTAGAAGCATCTAGTATTTCTAGGAGTAGCTGTGGAATATAATTTATAAAAAATAATAAGAGATATTATGTTATATATAAATTTTAAGATACTTAAATCTAATATACCTATTATTTTTTCTAGCATAGAGAGTTTTCCGGCATGCAGGGATATATATTAAATTCTAAGTATTAAATTCCTATTTAACACTATATTATTATAATAGCACTAAAGGGAGATCTTAAAGGACCACTTGATATATCTGTATTATACGAAGAGACTAAACTAAGAAGGGAAGCTATAGAAGGAGGACTTATCCCTTTATATATACCTAAAGACCCTAGTAAGCTAGTATATAGGTAAGGAATAATACTAGGTGTAAATAGCTTTATGTCTAAATAAGCACTGGTAGAAAAGTGGCACGTGACTAGGAAGGCGCGCTGTTATAGCATATTACTTAAAGTCTATAATAGAGATAATATAAATAAGTATAGTTATAAATAAACTATTTTAATTATTAATAAATATTATAAGCAATCTTTATCTAGATAGTCTAAGCTATATGCTTTATTTGTCTTAGTTATAGAAGTCTGAAATTTTTCGAATTATAGAGGCAATTGCCTCTAACTAAGTATAGCAGATAAATGAAAGCATAATAGTAGTTGAAAAGCTTTATAGAAAGTTGTTCTATATTAGATAATATATTAATATTTATATCTTACTAAAAGAAAATATCTTACTGTCTTAATATCTTTAATTAAGCTAGATGAAGTAATTGCTAAGAATTCTATTACTTCTATAGACTATAATTTAAGAGATATAGGTATAAGCTTGCTGCTATTACTAATATCCTTTTAAATAATACCTTTTTATATTATTTCAAGGGCAAGAAAGCTAATTATTTAAGCACTACTTAATCCTCCTTCCTTATAATGCTCTATATACGCTATAAATATTAGTAAAAGATTAAGTATTTTAAAATTAGTTTAGAATACCTATCTTAATATAGCTATTAAAGGATAGAAATACCTTTAAGCTATTTAAATTTATAAAGGAAACCCTTTATATTAATAAATACTATATATTATTAAGTACTTAACGAATTTAGTATGTATTTTATAACTGCCTCAATTAATCTACTTAACTATAAACAGTAGATATATAAATCTCCTCTAAATTATAAGAGATAGTAATAGCTTATCTTAGAGATACTTATATGAAATCGGAAACTATTATTATACTATTCTTATATTTATATGCTCCTATAAATTCAACTAGGTTCTAGTATTAAAATTTGGTAATACTATCTAGTTAAGTTATTATAGTAGCTTCCTTTAGTATTACTATCCTAATAGGTATAGATCTAGTATAGGCTACCTTTATCTAACTAGCTTATGCTATATTTCGTAGAGGTTTATAGGTTAGCTAAGGATTTTTATCCTGAATAGCTAGCACTAACCTAACTTATACGTGTTTAATAGCTTTTATAAAAAGTAATAATATTCTAGTAGTTTCTAGTCTGCTTATAGAAATAGATATATATAAAGGGATTAGAGCTGATTTATTTTTCTCTAGTGCTTATTATAACAGACTTAGACTTGCAGCTGGTAGAAGTTTAGATTATACGCTTTAATTATCTAAAAACTAAGTTTTTCTATTATTACCTAGAGTATAACTTTCTATACCTTTAACTATCTGTAGTAGGTAACTATAATATTCTTTTCTAGGGAACTTAGTTAACCTCCTAGACTTAGAGGATTCGAGCGGCATAATTTAATCTTGTGAGTTTATTAGATTTTCTTTTATTATAGCAAGCAAATTAAGCATAAGATGTTAATATAATAAGTTCTCTAAGAAGCAGAGTTTTCTAAATAAGGATAGCTCTTCTAATAAGTATGACCCTTATAATATAGATAGCCACGCTAAGAAGTAGGCAAAGCGCTAGCTTTGTTTTCGCGCGACTAAACTAAATTTAATACGTATTACTATTTAATATTAAAATAAAAATTACCTCTTAGTATACTTATTCTATTATAAATTACTTAGGCTTAGAGCTTCTTATGTTATTAGAGTGGAATTTTACTAAGAGCAAGATTCTCTATTTTAAAGGCAGTATACGCGTGCGCTTATTAGAGCTATAGTTTTTGAATCCAATTTGGCTAATTAATATTAATATTAAAAAGGCTCTTAAACAAGATTTTAAGGTAGAGGGATGCCTCTAGCATAAAGTTAACTATAGCATACTAGCTATTATTAATAATGCTTCTCTGAAGTTAGCTTTAGTAACGCTTAATATTAGTGCTAAGAATTTTAAATCTATCTTAACCAGTTATCTAATAAAGTTTAAACTTTTAAGTAACCTTAAATTAAATTATCTTTATAGTTAATATAAAGTGCTTACTACTGCAGAGTATCTTCCGCATAGAGATAGGTAGTAGCTGGTTAATATATATAGAGAGGGCTAGTATATAGTTTCTTCTTATAGGTATACCTCTAACTTATATAGGACTTAATAAGAAAGCAAGGCAAATTTTTAGAGAGGGATATTCTTATTTGATGAATTATACTAATAGGGAAGTCTTTTGTTAGATATGAGTCTACTAGTTTAATAGCAATAATATAAGTGAAGAATATTAGTAAGCAAGGATTATAGCTACTAAAGAAAAAGATCTTTGCAAACTACTAAAGCGTAGTTTGCTTATTAATACACTTAATTTAGTCTTACCTATAAGAGGTCTCTAGAAATTCTTTTATTTTAGATCTTTAGATATATTTCTTTTAATAAGATGTAATAAGGTATATTTATCTTTCTACTATTCCTAAGCTCTTACTAAGTTCTTTATAGATAATCGCTTGCTATATCAATTTGATAAGGAAAACCTTTACTTTAATCCTTAGAGAATAGCGCTCTAACCTGTAATATATAAACTAATATACTATAGAGACCATTTAATTATAAGCTCTTAGAGTTTCTAAGCTAGATACTAAATTCCTCTATAAGAAAATGCAATTCTTATTTCTGGAAATAAAAGATGCTAATATGCATGCCGGGATACTATAGCGGCTTCTTAAAATTAAGTATCTAATTCTAAGTCTATATACTTTATTTAAAGATCTTAGGTATCTAGAACTAGCAGCTAAAGTAGTAAAAGCTCTCTTACTAGAATCTGTAAAAGGGACCCTCTGCTAAAACCTTTGCTTTCTCTCCTCTCTTCTAGGGATAGATAAGCATTTGCTAGTAATCTAAGAAAGTAAGACCCTTAATATAACTATTTTAGGGAATTTTAATAATCTATTTAATCTCGCGGTCTATGAACTATTCCTTTACGCTTTATGATATTTTACTAAGCTGGTATAAATTTCCTTTAAAAAAGATATAAATCTAATAAAGCAGACTGTTAATATACTAAAGAGGTTTCTAGGCTTTAAGTTAATAGAGTTTACTTATTAACTAGATTTTAAAATCTAAAAGATTAATAGTATGCAAGAAGAGCTAGGAGAGAGGTTATTAACTAATATGCTTAATAATCTGCCGAGGGAGATCTTTAAATTTGATAGAAGTGTACTAAAGAGCCTCTCTATGTCTTTTAAAGAGTACCTATTAAATGCAACTATTATAGCAGATAGTACTTTGCAGCCTTCTATTACTATAGCTAGTATTAGAGAACCTCTATCCTGGAGATATAGACGGTGTTATAAAGGGTCTATAGATAATAAGGACCGCCTCCACCTCTTCCTTTATAAGATGCACGTGCTCTTAAGTGACTCCTAAAAGTATAGCTATAATATTAGCTCTTTCTTTATTAAAAGATCTATATATCTGGCATTTTTTAGACTAGCTTAGATCTTAGAGCCCTTAATCTAGGGGGGTGAATTTTTAAGCGAGGAATAGTTTAAATAGCAGGTTAAGGTAGCTATAAGTAATATTAATTAGTAAGGACTAAATCCTAGAATAGATTCTTGTCTTAACTGTAGTAATATAAGCTTTAACCTAGAGTTGGAGGGTTTTAGAATTGCTAATAAGATATGGTTCCTAAATCTAATAAGAGAGATTTATTAATAAACTAAAATTAGGACTACACGCGGCCTGAATTAGAGATAGTTACTTTTAAGAATAAAGATAGATATGTCCTTAGTAAGACACTGCTATCTAAAGAAGCTGTAGAGAGTCAGACTAGATTACTTGTAGAACGCGGATTTTCGCTTATAGATAAACGTAGCAAACACTAGCTCTAGAGCTAGTATTATAATATATTAGTAGATACTAAAACTAGAGTCTTAATAGTAGTTAGCTTAATTAGGGACTATGCATCTATATATAAGCAATGTGGTTGAAATGTTATAGGAAATCAAGTTAATTCAGGTGAATTAATCTATAAGGCTAGAGGATAGCCTGCTGCTATAAAGGAAGAGGAAGAACTATAATAGAGAGCTTATATCTAAAATTTATTT